ATCTGCCTGACAATCTACTAAGGTAGAACTTCACACAAAACTACCGGTCTAATTGACTTTCTCCTCTGTAATCTTGAGACGCCTCCTTACTGCGCATGCGATCACCTCTTCCACACTTGATTCAGGCTACACCACTCCCAGTGAGCGTCGTGAGCTAACTAATATGCCAGACTCAACTCCAAGTCTCTGCTTAATCGCGTGATCTCACCATCACATGGCAAGCAGCTGACAGCGTACTCCTGTGCGAATGACCGCAGTAATCTAGACTCTCTAAGACCCTCTCTGTCTAAAATTACACATCATTGCAATTAGAAACACTCATTCTGTCATATAGACCACGTCATTCTGCACTATATTGAACACTCCTTACCTCTATTGCAATAATAACACCCTAACTCCCATTATCGAGTTCTCTAAATATGTACTCTTTTTTGCTTTGCATATATTAGACTTCATTCTCTTGTCACACAAAGAGCTATCCTCTTCTTGCAAATGACCCACTTCATCGATGTCTCCATAACCCTTCTCTCATGCTATGGACACCCATCTTCGTGCCATCTTATGTGAACAAGTCGCTTCATAGGAACACACTCTATCTGTATCCATCCGCTCCATCACGCATTTGACAAATTAATGCTCGTGACACTCACACTAATATACTGACTCTCTCTGCTCACATTAAATGACCCTCTTAGTCAATGTAGTGACCTCTTCTCTGTTGCATAGTTGGGACCCCTATCTGCAATGACCCTCTCTGCATAGACCCTCTCTGCCATAGGTGAGCCTGGCTCTGCTCACAAATAGAACCCACTCATAGCAGACTAAATGCACTTACTCGGACCACCAACTGGAGCACTCATTCTTAACTAACAACCTACCATCAGAGCAATAGTGTATCCCTCTGTGACTAGTGATCCTCTGCGACTTACATTACACCTTCCTCGACCAAATGTAACACTTTCGTACCTTTGTGCAAATTGTAATTTGCTGATACGAGCCCAGACCCGTCTTAGCAATGGCAACATCCTGGTTCTCCAAATTTATTGACACTCTCTTGTATTCGTGCACAAGATGACCACCTCCCCGCAAGACTATGTTCCTCTTCCTCTAATTGACCCTTTCTAATTGAAATTACAATTCCGTCCTACCGCTCCAATGATCTCGCGTCTCTACGGTGCAATAGTATACACTACTCTGCAATATAGACCCATCTTGCCATAGGATACTACCTCTCGCATATTAACTCATTACTTTGACTAATTAGACCCTTACCTGTCACATAATGAACCCCTCTTCTCTAATGTAACCCTCTCTGCAATTATACCCTCTTATCTAGCAAAGATACCTCTCTTGCACAATGACCCTCTACAAATGCAATTACCCTTCTCTGCACTAATATGACTCCGCTCGGCAAGTACATTACTACTTGCATAATAGTACCCTCTCTGCAATTGATCGTAGCGCTGCCTATCTCTTAGGTGCAATTAGACCTCTCTGTCACTCACAATGACCTTACTCTGCAAGAACACTCATCGCAATGACCTTCATCTCAAAATGGAAATCCCACCCTCTGTATATAAGGACCCATCTACTCACTGACAAAATAGACCCTCTCTGCTGCCTGTGCCTGCCCATAATTAGACCCTTACTGGATGTACAATATACCCTCAGCTCCAATGACTATTCTTCTATGAACCCCTCTACTCTATAATCACTCACTCACTGCCACCCTCAGAACACACCACATCTACTACCAGCCAAATGACTCACTACACTCGCCAATGACCACACTTACTCTGCACAATGACACACTCATCGCCCACACACCACCACATACAGAACCACCATCACATCCACACTACCACCACTAGCACACTCATACACACAGCACACAACCACCACAAACACCACATCGTCTCCCGACACTCACACAGTGATACCGCCTTTTCATGACCTCCTCTAAGCAGATATCCCTACTCATAGCTCAACTAATCTCTCTGAATGTCCACTAGCTATGACTCCATATTAACTCCATACTCTTATGTCTTGTATCTCATATCACTCTTATGCTCATAAGACTACATGCTTCCTCACATGACCTCTCTTCGTCTCACATATATAATAATATCTACTTCGCTGCATGCCTCTGCATGCCGCGTTCCGCGAGATTATCGTGTGCGCGCCCGCCTCACGACGATCACTCAGAGCCCACGCATCCGCTTGGTGGTGGCATCTGTGCTCGCTTGCCCCTCTGCCGACGGTCGAACGACTCGCTGTGATCTATGTTGTGGTAAGTATTCTATGTCTCAGTATATATACCACTCTACTGCTGTGTGCTGCTGTGTGTCTGTGTGTGTTGTCAATTCAACAGGCCATTTATTTAATACTACTCATTCCACGTCGAGTTACTCACCCGTACAGTCTAAGTACTACTTATCATCTGATATAGCATCCACTGTCAGTCTATAGCACGGGTCATATACCTTTCGTACTAATATACTTATATCTACGCGTATCACTACACTAGTAAATAGGAATTAATATGTATCATGTTGACAGTTAAAATTATAGTGATATAGATTTTTTTATATATATAACTTATAGAAAGTTAAATTCCTGATAATAACTCTCCTTTATTAAATAAAAATCTTTATTATATATTCATAAATTATATTACTGCTTATTATACTTCATTATATTTTTTATATAAATATTATATATTAGTATACGATCAGTATAGAATATGATAATTTAGTATAGATTAAAATAGATTTATCTACTATACTAATATTTTCACTATTATATAATTTTACATCATATCTCTATTCACATCATTATGATTATCTAAATTTTTATTTTTGTTATATGATATTCTACCTCACTACTATACATTATCACATTATCTACACATAACGCCTCATGTTACAGTATGTTTGTCGACTAGTTAGACGTATATTTCTTTCATCTTTCTTTCTTCATTATGAATTATCCTTCTTATGGAAACAATTCCATAATTCCAGGTTCATTTAAATGGCATTGTGTACTTACAATCACTTTTATTCAATTCATCACTGATTTTAGTAATCTGCTGTGGTGATGACTGTGGTGAAGTCTGTAGCTGTGCTCGTAAGTGTGAGCTCGTGTCGCTTGTTACTTGATATTTTATCTATGATCGCTCAAACTACTACTCTTATATATCATAATCTACTAATTATACTTACTTACTCTAAATCTACTTCTACTACTCATTACTCTCAATCACCTAATCATCTAATCAAATTCAACTCTCACTCCTTGCTTTCTCATTACACTCAATTTCCTCCTGACCCCTCCGTCCCATTATATCGTGTGTGTGTGTGTGTGCCGTGCGGTGTTGTCGCCTGCTGATGGTGATGTGTGATAGTGTGACTTCTGTGATCGTTTAGTTTCCGTGCGGTGAGAGTGTGTTGTGTAGTGGTGGTGGTATCGTCTGTGGTGTCGTCGTGTGATGATGCGTGCATGTGTGTGCGTGCTTGTCGTTGCTGTGATCAGTTGAGTAGTGTGTACTTACTATTCTCTCACTCTCACTCTAATAACTACTAATCTCTAGTACTCAGCACCAACTAATTATTTTCTTAATCAAAACTAACCTCATTTCTCTTACTCTCTAATAACACTATTCCATAGCCTATTATATCTAACTCATTATGCTCACTCTTTAACTGGCTATGACCTGTCTGATACCTCATCACATCATACTGACCTCACCTTCTACTGGCTCTGCACCACTAATACAGGTACAAACATCACTTGTACATGTACCTAAATGTATAACTACGTACTAGTAACTCATAATGAGCTATAGTTAAATATGTATCTACTATATATTATGATAGTATCAAATAATCGGAAAGCCGTAGTACGATATACAGCAGTAGTACTATATGATCTACTTATAAAAGTACCTATTACCGTGCATGAGAGATTAAGTATATGTCCTATCACCAGTCATACTATCAATGCACGCCGTCCGGTTTATACTGACAGCAACCGCTACTAGACAGTCAATATGCCAGCTGCTTTCGTATGTACTTAGATATATCGTATGTACATTGTGTATCACTTATTACGTATGATTTGTACGTATAAAAAATATAGTGATGTAATTAGCGAGTGATTTATATGTGTATATGATGGCCATGATGGAGATGAGTTAGATAGAATTTGGTATAATAAGTAAGGAGATATATTATGATGTATATAAGCATTGATGTATAGTACAGTAAGGGTGTGAATGAGATAGGCACAGTATATTAGTAGAGGGTAGTATTAGTAAGATGATGAGATAGTAATATATATATAAGGAGTAGAATATATATAGTAGGTACTAGAGATATATATATATACATATATATAGGTAGTATGAGTCAGAAGAGATATATAGGTAGTATGAAGATATAATGTATATATAAGATATTATATATATATGAGAGTAATAGGTAGTAAGAATGAAGAGAGTAGGAGTAGAAGAGTATAAAAATGAGAGAGAGAGAGTATGAAGTATGAGTAAACGGAGAGTGTAAGTTGAGTGAGGTGTGTGATGTATTTAGTCGCTCGTGCTGCCTCTCTCGAGAGTGAGAGAGAGATGACTCTCTTCGTACTACTAGCTGCTACTCCTGACTCTGCGAGAAGGAGCACTGCTCGTCTCGTCTGACCACACTCAGCAGAGCACACACTCCACTGAGCAAGCATCTCTCGTCAGTGATCGAGTCATCTCACCACTACCATCTCTCTCCTCCATCTCTCTCTCTCAACCTCTCTCTCAACCTCTCCTCTCCCTCTCTACTCTCCCTCTCCCTCTCCCTCTTCCCTCTCCCTCTCCCTCTCCCTCTCCTCCCCCTCCCCCTCCCTCTCCCTCTCCCTCTCTCTCTCTCTCTCTCTCTTTCGTACAAAAATACGATAAGGTAACATGCACGTTATCAGACATGACGAAGCGCCTGGCATGCTGTCAGTGGCGTTGCTGTCAGTGAAACCGGCGGCGTGCAGTGTGCTGTGGGAACTTTCTCGCACGGTAAAGGACTTTTTAAGGGCTATCGTTCGCTTACCATTTTCTAATAATGGTACAACATCCCATGCTTCAGTACGAGAACATTGTACTGACAAGTGTGTTGTACCTGTTTGTGTGCCAGAGAGAGAGGGGGCAGAGAGGCAGACAGGCAGCCAGTATGAGTGAGAAAGAGTGAAAAAAGGGCAAGGAAGTGAATGAGAGAGAGAAGGGTGTGATTAAGAAAAATAGTGTGTGAGCGAGATGAGTATGAGTGAGAGTGAGAGAGAGTATGTGAGCGAGTGAGTTAGAGAAAGAGAGCGACGACTGAATGAGATAAAATGTGTGCAAGCGAGAGAGAGAGTGTGAGGGAGAGAAAGAGTGTTTGTGTGTGTATGTGAGAAAGAGTGTGAGTGTGTTTGTGGGTGAGAGAGAGGATCACAGAGAGTGTGTATGGAAGCAAGAGAGAGAGTGAATGAGTGAGTTAAGGGTGAGAGAGAGAGAGAAAGAGTTAGAGAGAGTATATAAGTGAGAGAGAGTATGTGAGCGAGTCAGAGAAAATGAGAGTGAGGGTGGTTGAGTCTGCATGTCCCTGTGTCCTCGTGCAGTGTAATCACATATTCAGTCATAAACCGTAGACATGGAGATGAAATGAAAATCAAGTTGAAATAGTCAAAACGCCTCACAATTCCTGTCCATTAAATCGAAACACTGACGAATCTTGCGATTTTTTCGTTCTCATAAAGATGACAGGATAACTTACAAAATGAAGAAAGAGAAAAGATGGAAGAGCATATCACGTGTATGTGCCCCCCCCCCCTGCACACAGGGCGTTTGTGTATATAATGATAATGATGATAATGGTAATAGTAATGGTGATGGTAAGAACGATCATAACAATAATAAAAACAATTATGATATCAATGATAGTGATATTGATGATGATGATAATAATGATGATAATGATAGTAATAAAATTATAATAAAAATAATGATGATAACAATAATCATAACAATTACAATGATGATAATAGTAATGATAATTTTAATTATCTAAAATAAGTATGATCATAAAATAATAGTATAATGTAATAATGATACCAATTGTGATGATAATAATGATGATGATGATCATAATACTGATAATGATAATGATAATAATGAGAGTAATACTGATTGTGAACGCAAAAGTAATAATAAACCATTTATTATGACATGAACTGCCCCTCGCCGCCTTGGCGCTCGAATGCCAATCAGAGCGAAGGGCGGCCCGCCGACGCAGGTGCTCAGCCCCGAAGAGACTCCGAGCCCAGCCTTGGCATCTCGACGTGTCCTTGCTTCCCTCGCTGATTGAATTCCGGAAGGCGATCGCCGTGTCTGCGGATGTTGCGAAGTTCCGGCCGAAGTTTCCTCTTAAAAACACTCCCAGCACGTGGAGAAGGAAGCTCAGGCGATTTAGCGGGAAACTCTTTTCTGGAATCTCTGATTGACTCGTTTCGAGGTCTGGCGCGGAGGAACGCCAAAGCAGGACATCGTCATTGCAGAGGGTCATTGCAGAGAAGGTCATTGCAGAGAGGGTCATTGCAGAGAGGGTCATTGCAGAGAGGGTCATTGCAGAGAGTTCATTGCAGAGAGGGTCATGCCATTGCAGAGCAAGAGTCATTGCAGAGGGTCATTGCATTGCAGAGAGGGTCATTGCAGAGAAGGTCATTTTTCATTGCAAGAGGGTCATTGCAGAGAGGGTCCATCATTGCAGAGAAGGTCATTGCAGAGAGGTCATTGCAGAGAGGGTCATTGCAGAGAAGGTCATTGCAGAGAGGGTCAGCAGAGAGGGTCATTTGCAGAGAGGTCATTGCAGAGGCAGAGGGGTCATTGCATCATTGCAGAGAGAAGTCATTGTCATTGGAGAGGTCATTGCAGAGAGGGTCATTGCAGAGGGTCATTGCAGAGAGGGTCATTGCAGAGAGGGCAGAGAGGGTCATTGCAGAGAGGGTCATTGCAGAGAGGGTCATTGCATAGAGGGTCATTGCAGAGAGGGTCATTGCAGAGAGGGTCATTGCAGAGAGGGTCATTGCAGAGAGTGAGGGTCATTGCATTCATTGCAGAGAGGGTCATTGCATCATAGAGAGGGTCATTGCAGAGAGGGTCATTGAGGGTCATTGCAGAGAAGTTCATTGCAGAGAGGGTCATTGCAGAGAAGGTCATTGCAGAGAGGCAGAGAGGTCATTGCAGAGAGTCATTAGAGGGTCATTGCAGAGAGGGTCATTGCAGAGAGGTCATTGCAGAGAGGGTCATTGCAGAGGGTCATTGCAGAGAGGGTCATTGCAGAGAGGGTCATTGCAGAGAGGGTCATTGCAGAGAGGGTCATTGCAGAGAAGGTCATTGCAGAGAGGGTCATTCATTGCAGAGAGGGTCATGCAGAGGTCATTACAGAGAGGGTCATTGCAGAGAGGGTCATTGCAGAGAGGGTCATTGCAGAGTCATTGAGAAGTCATTGCAGAGAGGTCATTACAGAGAGGGTCATTGCAGAGTCATTGCAGAGGTCATTTCATTCATTGCAGAGAGGGTCATTTCATTGCAGAGAGGGTCATTACAGAGAGGGTCATTGCAGAGAGGGTCATGCAGAGAGGGCATTGCCAGAGAGGGTCATTGCAGAGAGTCATTGCAGAGAGGGTCATTCATTGCAGAGAGGTCATTGTCATTGCATCATTGCAGAGTCGCCATTGCAGAGAGGGCAGAGAGGGTCATTGCAGAGAGGGTCATTGCAGAGAAGGTCATTGCAGAGAGGGTCATTGCAGAGAGGGTCATTGCAGAGAGGGTCATTGCAGAGAGGGCAGAGAGGGTCATTGCAGAGAGAGGGTCATTTCATTGCAGCATTGCAGAGATTGAGAGTCATTGCAGAGAGGGTCATTGCAGAGAGGGTCATTGAGAGGGTCATTGCAGAGAGGTGCAGAGGGTCATTGCAGAGAGGGTCATTGCAGAGATCATTGCATTCCTCCGGAGGAGGAAGTCCTCCCGGGATCCGCCAAAGGCTCTCCGGCTGGACCGGTGATGCAGCGTTAGTCCGCACTCACATTATTTTCTCTGGCTAACCACTTCAGATCCTTATTTTAACGACTATCGTGAGATATGCTTCAGAGGTCGATGAAGGAGGAGGTCCTTTCGCCCATGAAGATGGCGCCAAAAACCCGTGCCAGCCAGGGGGTGTCATCACGTGATCCGTGGTCACGAGCCTTTGAACGAGGGCATTTCGTATCATCTCAGTCTTGTTTGACCGCGTGGGAGGCTGGTTCCCTTTGGCAAGCTCTAGAAAAGTCTATAGATCTTGCTCTTTGATGCCAGAGCAGCGATAGATGATCCCTTTCGCCAAACGTTACAAATGCTCCTTGTTGCTATAACTTTGTCCGAGACGTTTTCCCACGGGCGGGCAGGTCACGGCCGCTGGAATCTCGTCGCAGATGCGCACGCAAATCGAGCTAAATGATAAGGTACAATGACGGGAGGATTTCATGTTTTGCTTGAAGGGAGAAAACACTTTCTATTCTGTGTTCTCTGCGGAGGTAAGCTCCCAAGATGGGAAGTGAATCCCGCAGATGACCGCTGCGCTGATTTCACGAGGCGCCACTTGGGCGGAGGGCGGCGGTGCCTGAAGGGCGTCAGCGGGCGCAGCGAGGAATGCGCGGGCGTGCACGGCGATGAGGCTGCGGTGGGAGCGGCAGCCCCGCCGAGGCTTCTGTTATCGGTTGTTTTGTTCTTGGGCTGCGAGTGATCGGTCTGTTTTGTTAACTTTGTGTGTTTGTATGAAGGCGTGGGGATGTACATGTGTTTGTGCACTTGTACTTCTCCCATTCAGTCTCCATTTCGCCTCCACATTTCTCTTTCGTCCACTCTCTTCCCCTCTCTTCTGAATCCGCTTTCCCCTTCTTTCCTCCCCTCCCTTCCTGCTTCCGCAATACCTCTCCTCTCCCCTCCCCTTTCCTCCCAACCCCTACTTTCCTGTCTGTTTCCGGTTTCCTTTTCTTTTTCTCCTCCTCCCTCTGCCCCGTCTCTGCCTGCCCCTTACTCCCCTTTCCCTTCTGCCTTTCCCATCTCCCTTTCCTCCTGCCTCTTCCCTTCCCTGTCGACATCCGTTTCCTCTTCCCCCTCTCCGCTTCCGCCCCTCCTTCCCCCGCCCTCTGCCTCCGTTTCCCCCGCCCGCGATACGAAGATAATGAAGCAATAGATCATAGAGTGATCTTCGTGTCTTATTCCCGATTTTTCACAAAGGTTCGTCCGTTTTCCACCGAGAGAGAAGAGAGGAAAAGGCGGGAATTTCACTCGAACGCGCCCGCATTGTTCCATTGATGGCTTCCTTGTCCGGCGTTCGGAAGGTCTTTGGCTTCGACGTAAACATTCGGATAACGAGAAAAACTGGATTGGAGAGAGAGAATACTGACGATAATGATGATGAGAGAGAGAAAAAAAAATAAATGATTAGAAAGAGAGAGTTAAACAATTTATATATAATATATATATATATATATATATATATATATATATATATATGTGTGTGTGTGTGTGTGTGTGTGTGTGTGTGTGTGTGTGTGTGTGTGTGTGTGTGTGTGTGTGTGTGTGTGTGTGTGGTGTGTGTGTGTGTGTGTGTGTGTGTGTGTGTGTGTGTGTGTGTGTGTATATATATATATATATATATATATATATATATATATATATATATATATATATATATATATATATACATATATATATATAGATAGAGAGAGAGATGATTAGATGATTAGAGGGAGAGAGAGAAAGTGAGAGGGAGAGAATCAGGGGATTAGAGGGAGAGAGAGAGAGTTAGATGATTAGCGAGAAAGAGAGAGAGAGAGAGTAAAAAGAGACAAAGAGAAAACGAAAGAGAAAGAGAGGGAGAGATACAGAAAAACAAACAGACACATTCAAAAAAGAGGAGAAAGAAAAAGTAGTGACAGATATTTAGATAAGTGTGTGTGTGTATATATATATATATATATATATATATATATATA